CAGGGTGAAATCAGCAGCTCTGACAGATAGCAGAGATTACAACGCTTCCCTTTTTAAATTCAACAAAGCGACACAATGTGTACGAAGTTACCTGCATGGCACTCCTGCCCATGGTGATCACTTCAAACAAGGTGACGGCCTCCACGTGCTTCTGTTTGCCGTGTCCTCTTCCTGCTCTCCTCGTGCCGCTGCAGCTGGCCTTGGGACTTTTGCACTTGACATTCTCGGAGCTCTCGTGTGTTCGCCTCCTTCGTCTCTGCCGGGATTGAAAACGTGACAGGTGAAGAAAATACAGCCGGCTGAAATAATGTGCAACGATTTCCAGTCGAGGTCGAGTGAAAATCAGTCTGAAGGCGCAGACACAAATTTGCCTCCACAGCATTAGAACGCCTACGACTTCTCTTCTCCGGACTACGTATGTGGCTGGTTTGTAGCCACATACACTAAACTCAATTAGGCAGAACACTGATATCCACTTGGGCCACTGTATTCATGTTCTGGGTCAACATGGCGGCTTCCACCAGCTGGTGCAAGGATGGACAAGATTACAAATGAGCTCAGGTTTAGCATTTATGAGACAAAGTTAGGAGATGGTTTGGAGATGTGAAGAGGAGGACTAATGGATATATTGGACAAAGGCTGTAGAATATAGAGCTGCCAGGCAGAAGGAAAAGAGGAAGACCTCACATGTGGGGGGTTGATGTGATAGAAAAGGATGCTAGGGATAGGTGGAGGTGGAAGCAGGGGATCAGATATGACAACCCCTAAAGGGAGCAGCTAGAAGAAGAAGAAGAAAAAGAAGCAGAAGAAGCGTTTTTCTTGTGTAAGCCTGCATGAGCATCAGTGGATAACACATACCACACTCTTTCGCCTGTTCTCATTCCCAGAGTCCTCCTCTGAGTGACTGACGGCTTCAGAGGTGTCCGCCTTGGCACAAGAGCTCTTACTGGGAATTCAGAAACAGGAGAACTGGTTAACAGAGGGAAGCTGGGTTATTATAGCAGGCACTGTCAAATAACGACTAACTTTGCTAACTTACTTCTGCTCTGAGGACCTGGATGCAGCTGCAGCTGTGGCCTCTGGTATCATGATCCCCTCAGACGTTCACGCAGGGCTCAGCTGTGTGACTCTGCATCTGCAAACACAGTACCCGACAGTCTGTGCTACCAAAACTAAGCAATGCATTGGAGGGTGGGGGCAGAGGCTTGCGTTTAACTGATTTTCTGCGTGCCCCCTCCGCTGGGAGGAGCTACCGCGGTGCTTTAAAGGGTAAGTTAAAGACACTTGGGCATAGTGGCCGCTTTGGCCCCCATGAAAGTTGAACAGAGCACTTTCTTTTACTAAATCAAAAAAATATAAGTAATAATTTACAGCTAGCCTAATTAGCAGTGCCTCGGCTTGCAGAATATAACAAGCACGGATTAAAACTAAAAGGTAAGACAAAGACTCAAAGGTCGCTGCTAAACTTTTCAAACTTACCCTCTTCGCATAAACGCATACGCCTCGATGTTTGTCAGTGTATGCCTTTGAATTGGAAGCTTGTCAGACTCATTTAATTCAAGTATTTCCACTGATATCCTCCGTCTTTAGCCCCAGCTCTCACAGTCAAGTTGACAGACAGCCTAACGGGTCGTGATTGGCTAACGAGCCCGAATAGAATGATGCGATTGGCTGGCGGGAAACGTCAGTGTGAATTGAGTCCCTCCTCCGGCGGCGGTGACAGAAGGCTTGCTGTACGGAGCGGTTTTCGTCAGGCCACAGCGCTGTAAACATCTGTAAGAAGAGCCTCGTCGACGTATGAACTGTTAGCGAGTGAATAATAGGAAGATTGTGCCTTTTTGTGCTACCACAAAAATAATGCAGCACATTTAGCTATCTCGCTGGTCCTGCTGTGATTTTTAATGCAATGTATCCTGCACACCTCGGTCCCAAAAGCGCTTCCCGTGTAATTTAATTAAGCACAGTAGCAGCAGTCAATTCAGAAGGGAGATGTCATGGCATTTCCTGATTTTAACTATTTGAATGAGCTGACCAGCAGGGGGAGCTATTCACTCATCTTATGCGAGCAGCTTAGCCCGCAGGCAAAGGTTTAAGGACGGGAAGGATTTGAGAAGCAATGTTATAAATGCAGGAAAGAATAGAAAGGCCTCTCAGAACCCCTGCATCACCTACAGCTGCAGTATCAAACATAAGGCCTGAAGGCCAGAAACACTGCGGTTTCCTCATGACAAAGATATTACACCAAATAATTAATAATTAAATAGCACAAATGTTGCTGGGTTTTTTCACTATCTACTACAGAAATGGGGGGAAATGAGTTTCTGTCAATTAACAAAAACCTTCTGTTTTATAATTGTATGACAGTCTGGCATGACACATTTATTACTTACAATTTAAAGTTTTGGTGACAGATTTCTTTCCTTTAGTACATCAGCATTTCTTTGTCACGTTGAAAAACTGTATGTATTATTGAAACTACACTTTCTTTTTCTTATATTAAGATATCTCAGAGGTTAAATGTGTACTTAGACTTCCTTACTTCTGATAGAAATGTGAGTTTTCATTGGTGTGGCCCATTTAGCGTGGGCTGTATTTGCTTGACATCTCTCACCTACAGACTGTAGCGCACACCTGCCTCTCTTTCTCTCTCTCCCTCCCAGTAAGCGATACCTGCTTATATACACGTGACATTAGTCAACAGATGGGGAGAATAAAAGCTGCTGCAGCTAAATGCTGAAAGCCAGTCTCCACCAGAGACAAAGTCAGTCAAAAACACTCTAAAATATGCACAGTTAACCACGTTTCCATTGATACAGCTCACGTTTAGTGTAAGTAAACATGTTTCCAATTAGTAAATGTGAAATACTGGTTTGAAAGTCTGAGCTCACGGTCTATCTCATTCTCAATTTAAAAGATGTAGACTGATTGTTCTGTATGTGCTCTGACTGGTGTATTCCTGGTGAGTTTTTAATGGGGCACCTTTGGCATTTGTGTATTTTGACAACTTCTTTCTGTTAGTCCCAAGTATTTTATACTTGTAATATGAGTAACTGTTGTCCAAACATAGTGGATAGATGCCAGACTGAGGGGAAGTCACCAGAACCAGAATGTAAGTAGCTACTTCAGCTCACGATCCATGACAATTTACAGGTCATTTCCTGTACAAAACAAAAAATGTGACCTTGACCATGATCTTAAACACAATTTGGTTGAAGAACCTTTAGGTCAAGAGTGCAAAATATAAGGCCTGGGGGCCAGAATCGGCCTGGCACGACTCCAATCCGGCCCAAGGGACGGATTTGGAAAATGTGAAGCAGTGCATAAAGATTTTTTTTGTAAATTGACGAAAACTGTTTGACTTTCATACCTCTTTGTCCAAATTTAAACATTTATCTCGCAGTTTCGCTGGTCCAGCCCACTTAAGATCAAAATGAGCTCCCAACGAACAATGAACAAAGCATTCAGTGGACCTGTACACATGATTATGTCTTAGCACAAAAGCTGAGGTGTAACCAATAACATTATAAGCATGACAACTCTCTCCGCCGCAGATCTGATGACACATAGTAGCTAGAAAGCATAGGTGTAATTAATAAACTTAATTATTGATGGATGCAGTCGTCCCACATTCACATTCCTGGCATCATCGACAGAAGTGAAACAGATGCAAGATTAATGTGAATATAACGCGACCTCTTCACTTGTTTTTGAACTTGAAGTTCTGACATTGTGTAAAATGTAACTCAAAAGCAAAATGCAATAATTTAAAGCCTGCATGTAACTAAAGATAGTTTTATGTTATTGTTTGATGCTGGTTTTTTGTTTTTGTTTTTAAAGCTTTTCATACAGCAACACTTTGTGTTTGGGTACTCGAGAGAGCAGATGCTGTGGTTTTGAAAGCCAAATGTCCTCCCACTCTTGCTTGAGATAGGATTTCATCTGCTCGCTAGTTCGGGACCTCTTTTAATGGAGTCATGCTCTTTTTACAGCAGCTCATGTTACTTTCCTGTTGCCAATTTACCTAATTAGTTGGGGTTATGTGGCCTGATATTCAAAACAATAACAATCCTCAGGGCGCACCAATGACTGAAGTGAAATGAGGGTTTTGAAGGTTTTTCCGTCTTTTTCATTTTCATGCTGTTAATAAAAACTGAAATCACACGCTCATCCAACGTGAATCATAATGTAGCTCAGTGTGTGTGTGTGTGTGTGTGTGTGTGTGTGTGTGTGTGTGGCCTCCACATGTCTGCATACACTCTCAACAATGTCTGGGCATGCTTCTACTGAGACAGACGAGATTGTTCTCGTGGACCTCACAGACCTTCAGGGCATCAGTGAGCTCCTGGACTGTCTGTTGGCAGCATTGGATGCACTGACACATAACATATCAGAGGTTCTCAATTGGATTCAAGTCTGGGGAACGCAAGGACCTGTCACTGACATCTGTGTCTTCATCATCCGTGAAGTTTTTACATATTTTGGTGTTGGTGAATACATGGAGAGCATGTGGTCCCAGATATTGAATGCACTGCCAAATCTGTTATGCTGGATGATGTAAGCAATGTAACATTCACCACCATGTGCTCTGTGGGAACTTGCTCCCATGTATGAAGAGAGTGGTGATGCCCCTCTACTGCCCGCCTATCTCTCCTCATACCAGGAGAGATGGTCTCCTAATAGGACATATTATGTGATGGCCCATGTCCTGGTATCTGGCCCATGAGTTCAAGGTAGCGTCTCATGCTATTTTTGTTACCTTTGCCTTTTTTTCAGGAATTTTTGTTAGTTTAGGGTCATTTTGCATGTGTAGTCTAACGCTACTTTGTAGTCACTGTAGATGTGTGGTTGTGTGGTGTGACTTTGTGGTTATTTTGTGTCAAATTGTATCAATTTGTGATTTTATGTTACCTGGTGTCCCTTTATAGCTGTTTTTTGACTCTGACACTCATTCATCAATGAGTTTATCAGCCACAAAGAGCAAACATGTCATACAACTTGCGTTCATTGCATTCAGTTTTATTATTCTGCTTTAGGTTTAAAAAATGTAACATTAGTGCAAGATGGGATTCAATAAGCTTACATTCAGCTCCAACCAACCGATTCAGCACAGGGACTAACAAGGGCCGCACTCCAAAAGACGATGTACAAAAAACCTATGTGGTTCTAAACAGGTGGGCTATTCAACCCCACTATTATTCTGTAGAATCGTATTGTGTAGCACCTTTTAATGGTCGTAACATAATCAGTTGCTTTTGAAGCGGGAGAGCCCTGGAGAAGGATTCATAAATACAGAGGCGTTCCTCAGCGTGAGTCAGGACAGGAACTGAGACACGAAGGTCACGGCCTGGTGAACATCATCTGTCAGCTCGTCTGGCAGTAACAGCACCATCGATGTTAAGCTTTGAGTTATTTCTAATATCCTGCACAGAAAACAGAACATGTTTGCCATCAGATTCTTGCTGAATTAATCATCACCTCATTCACAGCTAATTATTTCAATGTAAACTCACCAGTTGATATAATGAACAGCCAGCTGAGGCTCATGCCTTGAGCCTTCCTCTACCACCAGAGACTGTTTCATCTGTTTGAAGTTGGCCTCAATATCCTTCTTTATTTCTGAGAAGACCTGAATTCCCCTGAAAGAGCTGAGGACTTGCTGTAAAACAGAGACATTAAATAGCACAAAGCAATTTTTTGTGGAATGAAACAAAATGCACACATTTTGCAAAAGGCACAGCTAAACAGAGGATGGTTATAGTTCATCACTCTTACATATATAACTGAGAGCTGGTGGGCAATGTACTTATGACTTCCAAGGTGCCTGATATCCTCTTCTAGCTGTTGACTCAGCACAAGGAGCTGGTTCAGTTTGGCAATGTGGAAGTAGTATTCTGCAACAGAAGTATCAAGGCAGCAGAACTTAAGAGTCAAAAACTGCAATAAAAGGAAAAGTCCTACAAAGAAACTCTCACATGCTTGTTTTTTTTGCTTAATAGACATTGTTAGTTAAGAAGCATCCACGTAGTGGTGCAATGGATCACGGTTGATCCGTAATCCGAACCAATCCCACTCCACGGTTCAGGACGCAAGTGATCTGAAGATTTGAAAAAGAAGAAAAAAAAGTATGTGTATGGCGCGCGTGGTGGGTCTGTCAAGCGATAGTTATGGCCCGCGCTAGCGGTCCAAGTGGAGGAGCAGAGGAGTTTGCGATATTTAAGCAGCCCTTTGCTGCCCAGTCCAACCGGGCTAAAGCTATTACAAAAGCTATTGGGGTGTTTAGCTGCAGACTTGAGGCCATATTCCGTTGTGCAAAACAAGGGGTTTAACAAGGGGCAATGATATCCCGTTGCACGTCCACTTTAGTGGCAAGATCGTTCCAAGCATGTATGAGCAGGAAAAGATTTAAGTTATGGCTGAACTGTCCCAGGCATCTTCTGTTGCCCTAACTACTACAAATGGTTGGACCTCCAGGGCAACGGAAAGCTACGTGACCGTGACAGCTCATTATATCACAGCGGTGTGCGATATAATTAGCGGTATGTGTTAATGTAGGGTCTACCTTACAATATAAATCGCCTTGAGGCGACTGTTGTTGTGATTTGGCTCTTTATAAATAAAATTGAATTGAACTGAATTGAGATACAAAGCCCTATACTGCCCTATATTGTATCATTTTTTTTTAAATAATTGCGTGGAATGAGTCTTGAGTTGAATGTTTTTAACAGGCAAAAATAATTCAATAAGTAAATGTAAAATTTTTGTCTTTTTTCTTTTTTTGCTGATCCGAAAATTGATCCGATCTGTGACTTGAAACCGTGATCCGATCCGAACTGTGAGATTTTTGATCCGTTGCACCACTAGTAGGACGTGTTCACAGAGACTTGACCATGACCACAAGGAAAGGAAAGTAACAAGGGGATGGTCTTTTCTCAATATACTGTCAGTCTACAAACACATTAAAGATGCCTTATGCTCAAAGATTTAACAATAAATTAATAATGTTACTGTCAACATACAAGAAAAGTTACGTGTTTGTGTGTATGAATTGGAAACACGTTCCTCTCACCATCCATTGGTGGCCTTTCCAGCATGTCAACAGGACTACCTTGAATAAGGAACACCTCAACTCGAGGAAACATTGCTGACAGTCCCACCATGTCCAGGTAGTCCTGAGGAAACACATGCACCACTTGATCCTTGATATTGACAGTTACAACTCACTGTTTTAGGGGTTGGGGGCGGATAATATGTGAAGTGCTCAGTTGTTTCTAATGTTACTGTTTCATTAGGACAGAACGGTTTAAGGTCATACCTCTAACTGTGGCATAGGCTTTGGTAGATGTTCAAGGCACTGCAGCATCTGGTCAAGAATCTCAGATCCTTTAAGCCATAAACAATATATATATATATACAGAAGATCAGAAAATATCCAAGACATCTTTTGTTCTTAGATTTCATCACACATACCTTGAGCCTGGAATGTGTCTGACTCCTCTGGACTACACCCTTGTCCTAACTGCTCCTGGAACTGTGACAGAGTAACAGTGATTAAACATCAAAGCAGTACAGACTGAACAATGTTACACCATAATTACTATTTCCTGGTGTTATTTATTGTGTTATAAACATCATCATTAACATAATAAACATCGTAATTATACATTGTTATTTAGTTTTAAGCTCGAGAAAAGCTGCTGGAAAGAAATGACGATGATGGAAAAAAATCCATGTGCACGTCCCAAATTAGGTCATAATATGTGTATGGGCATTAATTTGCTCATTAGGTCCTATCCAGTGCACTTCCTGTTCTCTTAATACAATGATCTAAGGTCTGTGTGTGACAGTACAGAGTAATTAACCAGCTACCCACCCAAAGCTAATTGACTGATTTATTAGGTGTGTAGGAACATTAGCTGTGCATCCAAAATGACTGTTTATTTGCTGTAGACTATGGGGATCCAAGAGCACCAACATAAAAAAAAAAAAACAACAACAACTTGTGAAGTGAAAATTAAGTGAAGTTTTAAAGTACTGCAGTTTCTGTGTCACCAGCATAGGAGCACTTTTGCAAACTGACTCTATCTTGACAAATCAACCAGATTTTTAAGATTATGCCACAGTGGTCTCACCTAAAAATCCTAAAAAATTTATTTGGTGACACAGAAAAAGTAGTATCACAAACCTTTACTTACAGTTTGGGAACTGCTGCTTGTAATGTTTTTCAAAATATATTCTGGGATCCCTGACTTCCTCAAGTCCTTACCACATACCAACATGTATAAGTCATATTTTTTCCCATTTAGATTAATTGATGACACATTTACTTTTGTGTTTAATGATGTGTGTGTTTTATTTTATTATTTCATTTTGGCACTTTTGGCCCTCCATATTCTCACCAGATTCACATTTGAATAATGAAATGTTTGATGGAACATCTGACTGAAGTTTCACTTGAAAATTGATGAAAACTAACACAAAGTTGAGGAGACATACATATACCTGCTGCATCTGTGCCCTGATGAGGAGGTCCAGCTGCCCACAAAGACACAGCATCTCCAGGCCCACCTGCTCAGGACTCAGCTGGACAGGCATCAGAGGTCTCTTCACCTGTAACTCCACTGACCACAGAGCAGTCACATCACTCCATGACATTTCTCACATTTGCCGGAAAAAATAATCTCTTAACACACACAAGCACACGGGTGCACCATTGCAGACTATAAATCAGTGCGCACACGCTGTCTATTCTACAGGTCCAAGGAAGGATGGTTGATGAGGACTGAAGGGGAGTGGTCAGTGGGCTGTAAGGAGTCGGAGCCTGCAGGGCGCACTCCTCCGAAGTGAACTTGAAACGCCTCAAAACGCTGCATGAACCCGACTAAAAAGCGTGATGCTGGGACTTACCTTTAAATGCTTCATGGTAACCGCAGGGCTGACAGAGCGGCTCCGATATCCTCACTGCCATGGCTCGGACCGGCTGTGTTATATCACTCCTATTCTCCTGATTCGGTCCCGCTAATTAAAGCCATATGAAGACAATGAACGCGATGACAACTTGCTAGAGTGGGACTAGATAATAACAGATCAGATCTGTCGGTTTATTTTATTGCATTTGGTCGGAAGTCTCTTTCGCAGGTGGTGCGTTCGAGTGTCAAACGTTCAGGTGAAACACTGTTTCTTCATCCCTGATTCGCCGCTTCCTCTTAGATGACGATGCCCCCACGCAACCGCGCACTGATCAATAGAGCCTCGTTCATGCAGCCGCTGAAAGGTTGATGCAACGACGGTAACAATAAAAAGCCCGCGCCCCCTTTGCAACAACGGCGGCGCAGTCACAGCCCGTGATTTGCGGCAGGGAACGCCCCTCAAGCGGCACGCGCGCAGAGGACCAGCCTTTCACAATGATGTCATGCTTTAGGGATGAGGAGCACAGCATCACTTTAGTGAGGATGCAGGCAGAAAACAGCGTTTTTTTCCCCTGGGAAACAAACCTCCTTTCACGACCTGGATTGAGTATTTGTGTTATTTATATTCACAATCAATGTTCAGAAGAGGTTATTGCACACTAAAAAATCTATATAATTATTGTATTTTTGCAAGTGATAAATGATGTAAAAAAACCAAAAAAAAAACACTTCCTAAAACGTGAGGAGTCCAACAGGCCATAAACTGATAATAATCAGTTCATAAATCCCATAACAATGTAACTAATCTTCACAACATAATGAGATTGCAGAATAATTTTGGAAAATAAAGGACTGAAAACAAAACCGCAACATGGTGGAGCAGTGGTTAGTCCTGCTGCCTCACAGTGAGAACATCAGGGGTTTAAATCCTCTGTCTCTTCTTATTGTGTGCCGTATACATGGGTTCTCTCTGGGTACTCCAGCTTCCTCCCACAGCGGGGTTAGGTTAAATGGTGTGAATGGGTGTTTTTCTATGACAGGTTAAGTGTACGCCACCTTTGACAGCTGGGGTATGCTCCAGCTGGGAGACATTGGATGGAAAGCAAAGCCTTGGCCTTTTATATTTAAGTTTTTTGCCATATTACCCCTGTCCTAGCTAGCCTGCATTGGCTGCCCATAAAGTACCGTATTCAATTTAAAATATTACTCCTTACTTTCAAAACTATTAATAAATTAGCGCCAAGTTATCTTAGTGAACTTCTCAAACCACATACTCCTGCTAGAACACTCAGATCTGCCACTCAACTACTTCTGACCCAACCCAGATCTCGACTGAAGTCCCGGGGTGACCGTGCGTTTGCTCTGGCTGCCCCGGTACTGTGGAATACCCTTCCTCTCGACCTCCGCGCATCTGACTCCATTGCACTGTTCAAATCACGATTAAAAACCCACTTATTCAATCTTGCCTTTCCCTCTAGTTAATATTTCTTTTATGATTTTATATCATGCACTTCTATGCTCATTTAAATTCTTGTTTGCTCTGTACCTGTTGCTTTCCTATGTATTAGTGACAGTTATCTGTTTGCATATTTAGTACTTGCTTTGGTCCTATTTCTATTATCCTCCTCCTATACTCTATTTTACTTGTTAAGCACCTTGGCATACCCTTGGTTTTTAAGTGTGCTTTATAAATAAAGTTTATTATTATTATTATTATTATTTTAAGTAGGCCATCCAGTGGCTCTTTTACTTACTGTGGGTCATTTTTTGGTGTTGTTTGGGTCCATTGAACTTTTATCCTACAATGAGAATTTTCTCCCTCAGTGGAAGTGATCTCTCAGTGACTCAGGGTCACTGAATGGCGTGATGAGCAGGAATGACACTTTTGGGGAGATTTGGGACAGATTTTTTAAGACCGTGCTCTCTGTCACCATGAAAAAACACCAAATGGAGGAAAAAGAATAAATAATGCAAAGTTTTTCTTTTAACACCGTTTTTTTGTTGTTGTTTTGTTTGTTTGGTAACTTACCCGATTCTTTTCCATTTCTGGTGCAAAATCCTCAAACCACAAACCAACTCAGAATTTGGTTAAATAAAATACCAAAAGTCAGAAAAGATGTCTCAAATCCTTTAATCAGGACTCCAAATGGTTCTTAATAAAATACAACTGGCTTATAAAGTTTATCACAGTTTTTACAGTATCCAAAGTGTACGTCTGAAATTAGATTGCAGAGGAATGACAAGGTAAAGGCAAGAAGCCAGTTAAATAGTGTGCTAAGGAAAATATCTCCTGATACTACAACAATATCAGTTTTTACCCAAAAAAAAAAAAAAAAGCAAGTCAGCGGTCTAGCAAAAAGAAAAATCTCTCACCTCATTCTTTTAAACACTTAAATATACATATTTCTGTAAAAAAAAAAAAAACTCAATACATAAGTTTTGTTTACAAGTGCACCTGGAGGAAGAACAAACGAACATTTATATCCATTTGCATCCAATGTCGTCCTTGTTTTAAGGTCTACCTGAATGGCAAATCTTAAAGACCGTCTCCAAGACTGTCAAAATTGAATCCCCTTTGAAATCATCCATCACATCAAAGTCCAGTGGCTGTATCAAAGGGGACGCAAGCTGGATTTTGACCTCTCGGGACCACAGCTTTTACACTCATGCGTCGAGTAAGCTCGTCTTCTGTCTTTAAAGGGACTTGGGTTGAATTTCCGCTCTGGGTTTGACGTCATCGTTTCTACTGACGGGTGCCAGGGGGAAGGGTGAGGCTGGCCATCAGGTCGTGAACAGATGCAAATATGGTGCACTCGCCTGGGAGGAAAAGAATACAGTCAGTGTTAGCAAAGCTGTTTTACATCTAATTAGAATATTCAGTTGGAAAAGGTTTAGGTACAGTAAATTATTCAGTGCTCGTCAGCTGAGGGAGGCCAGAGTCTCACCCTGTCTGGCAGGATGCAGCTCATTGAACCTCTTGAGGATATTAGAGACCAAGAGTGCTGCGGCTCCAGAGGAGCTGTGCTGTCTGGGGATGTCAGCCTGCTGAGTGAGGCCTGTGGCCATGTCGTACACAATGGGTACGATAATGCTCACTGGTTCCTGGGGTACCGGGATGCGCTGGGTCAGCTGCAGCTGTGGGACAAAACAGACCAAATACAAAGGGTGAGGTGGCTTCAACATATTCATGTTTTTTTTTCTCTTTTCCATCAAATGAAAATGAAGTACATGTTTCAAAAAGGTAAAGCACTGCAGTGACTTACAAAGAAAAGCATTTTAGATTTGAGCACCACGGCAATGGTTCCAGGAGGAGCGATGGGTGGAGCGCTGGGGGGGATGGTGAGGCAGAACTGGACATTCCACTTCAGCTGTGCAGCCTGGTCAGGGAACTGCAGGAGAAGAAAAGGCTTATTCATGCATTACCTTTCAAACGCAAAGACTATTAAGTGGGGGTTAAAGGGGCGGTCCAAATGTGCAACAACACTCCATATAAAAGAAGTTCCTCACCAATTCAAGCTTCATGATGCGCACACAATCTCTAAGGATATTAGTGGGTGCACCCAGCAGCTTAGTGAAGGCATTCAGAGTGTTGTACTTAAAGGGAGGACCAGCAACCTAGAAGGGAGGACAGCAGTAGATGGATTAATGATTAATGCTGGTGTCTGTTACTAGTCATATATCATATAATATTCAAACTATGTTTTAATGGATACAAAATAGCAAGGGATTGTTTACCCATTTTTATGATCAGTTCAGGAAAAATCAATAAATAAAAACATGAAGACTTACACGGGTCTCGAAGAATCTCTCCAGCACCTGAAGTTCTTCCTGGGACCAGGGACCTGTGTTTTCTGGAGTGACTTTGAGCTGCAGCGTCTGGTAGTTATTTGGGTTGAGAGCCACACGGCACTTGAGCACTTCAGTTTTAAACATGATCACCCCCGGCTCGTTAGAGTTCACGATAGTTAACTGGAGGAGAGGAAAGATGACACAGTGATTACTGCACTGGGGAGGGGAAAAAAACCCCCAAACAAAAACAAAAAAGCCAATCGGGCAGTTGGTGAATTTGCATATACAGACTTCTTATAGCCAACATGACTGAATTCATATTTCAGTTTAGTCTTTTACGTGTCATCCTATATTTAAGGATGTTTAATCTATTACAATCCTTAGGTATACCAAAACACTTTACAGAAAATGTTAATTTAACATAAAGACTCATGTTAATCTATAAAATGAAAATGATCCAATTACAACTGAGAAAACTCATGTTGGCTAACATGGCCTTGCTGCGTGCTTCCATAACTCAGTGCACAGTGCAGAAAGGATATCATTTAGGAAATGAAAGACAACAGACTGATTTTTGGCTCTGCTCGTCACTCACATTGGCTTCCTGCTGGATGATCCTCTGTAGGTGCCGTCTCATAATAACTGAACCCAAAAAGCGCTCCAAAGGTGAGCAGAGGTAGCTTCCTGCCAGGCCGGGCACATGGCAGGGAGTGGGGGAAGGGAGCAGAAGCACATGCAAGGCATTGTGGGTGAGGATAGTAGGAATGGAGGCAGCCCAGGGGCGCTGAGGTAGCTTGCGGGGTGGAGGCATACTGGTAGGCATGACTTGTGAACCTAAATCAAAGACAGAGACACATGTTACAAAAAAAAAAATAATAAAAATAAAAATAATATATATATTTAAACTCTATTTTTACAAAGTGTTTGTCTTTAAATACAAGGATACAAAGACAATGTGAGGCAGTACTTACTGGTCCCAGCACGTGGAGAATTCGGGTCAGGAATGGGTGAATTCAACGAAGGGTTGCCAGGGGACATGCCGTGGATCCTTGCCCCAGGAGAAGGCCCTGAGACCTGGGGTGAACCTGGCCACTGGTTCCTATTGGTGGGAGACACCATGGCATATGGAGAGCTGGGGTCTAAAACACCTAGATTAAAGGAGAGTCAGTCATCACCATCACATTAACACTTCTCATACAACAATAAACATAATCAGATGAATGAAAAATAAACCACTGTGTGCCCGTGCTGTGTAGACCATTTGTCATATGTCTGTTAATGTCTGCAGCCTAGAAAAGATATTCAGTCCAGCCCGCTCCAGCCCATGCCCAGCAGAACAAAATTACTACCAGGCCAGTATTTATCCTGCTGCTTACCGTGGGGACTGGCAAAGCTGGTCTGGCCCATGGCTATGCCCAAAGAAGACGGGGATGGGGTTGGCCCGAAAGGAGAAGGTGCCCTTAGAGCTCCACTAGGGGAGCCAGAGGCATGGATGTTCCCTGCACACATCCGCACAACACACACGCACACACATCAAAGGGCTCATCAGACTAAAGATGACAAGTACTCTTTACACACACTCACTCCATGTGCACACAAGCTAAAGCTGGGCGGAAGGGCTATAGACTCTGGCTGGCG